GTCCATCTGATGCAGCGCCAAGCCGTACTTGGCAGCCATGCTCAATACAATGCGAATCGAAGTAAACTTCGCCACCGGTGCAAAGAACCTCATAATCGACTCCAAATTTCTGTGAAAATCCTTTGGCTACAAGCCGCGCTTGTAAACGCTCAATGATTCCTTCTTGATTTTCCTTGACTCGAAACATTGATCTGCAACCAATTGCTTTGCGCCCCTTTGGCAGAAGCACGACATCCCAAGTCTTGTTCTTGTAGAGTGACTCTAGTTCCGAATCACACGCACCTTTCCATTTGTCCACGTCTCTGGATTCCACCGCCGACTTCAACGATGTCGGCATTTCTCCCACTGAATACACGACGCGGGCAGCATCAAAGTCTTCTTCGCGAATTGTTGCTAGAGCCGACATTTCTTCAAGCGTTTAACGTTGGTATTTGGATATCCGACGCTTGCGCTGTGGAATTTCAGTCGCCTTTTTTAGTGACTGAGTACGGGTATGTCGTTTGCTTCCCAGCTCAAAGTTCGTATCAATGTTTTGGTCGTCAGTCTGCTCTGCTTCCGAATCCATGTCATTGTCTGTCAAAATTTCTTCGTCATCATCTTTGTCATCATCTTGACTCGTGACAATTTTGTTGTAGCTCTTGTTCTCATCGTCAAAGGTGCCTTCTTTAAACTGTGCGGCACGACTCATGATGATTTTACCAGTTGATCTTTCCTCTAACCGATACGTTTTCTGGTGCTCTGAATAGCCCGAAAATCGGCACAGCACGGCTTTCGCATCCACCTTCGAGCGTTTCTCTTTTGGAATGTGTACAAACGCGTGGCAGCCAAATACTTTTAGGCTGGCTAACAGCGGTTTCTTGGCCGTTCAAAGCTCGTAAGGTGACTTTTTGAGATTATTAGCAAGCGATGGACACCGATTTTGGAGAAACATTGCTGTCATTACTGCTTCTCCCCAGTAGTGTTTAGAAAGCCCAGCGTGCTCCAACATGCAACGTGCGCACTCCACAAGCGTCCGATTCATACGCTCCGCAACCCCGTTGAGCTGTGGTGTGTATGGTCGCGTATACTTGAGCACAATTCCTTTATACAAGCAAAACTTGGCCATTGTTGCTGATGTATACTCATCACCATTGTCACTGCGAAGTGACTTTACGCGTTTGCTGGTCTGCTTATCTGCGAATGCAACGAAATCTGCAATCTTGTCCACCACTTCTGACTTATTCTTGATCAGATACACGACGCAATATCTGGAATTGTCGTCGATGAAAGTCACAAAATAACGCTTGCCACTAAACGTTGAAGGCTTCATAGAACCGCACACAACGCTGTGTATAACTTCCAAAAGCTTGCTTGCCCGATCCGTTGACCTTGATTGAAATTGTACACGAGTCTGCTTGCCTAGCGCACATCCATCCCAAATTTCCCACTTGTTTACAGACGCAATATCGATACCAGTGGCGAGGTTCTTCTTGATGATTGCGCTCAACCCGTCATGCCCAATATGACCCAGACGAAGATGCCACATATATGACATATCCTTATTTACTGTCGTAGATTTGACTGTATTCGCTTTCTCTCGAGCAACCAGAGTCATTTGAAGTTGAAACAATCCTTTTCCTTCGCATGCACCAATCCTCCACTTGACAACTTACGTCTTGGCAAATCATCCTTCCTTGTCGAAGACAACAGGCCCACGTCCTTGGTGAAGCGCCCAACTGAGAATAAATTTCTTGACAGCTTTGGAATGTGCCACATATTTGTCGGCACACCCTTCTTTATTCCGTGCGAAGTCTTCATTGACATGATGTCGCCGCTGCCGATAGCTTGTACGACACCGTCGTCTGCCAGATGTACGTCAATAGAAAAAAACGCCTTGTAGTTTCTCATGAACTTTTTCGAGCTTGTCATACGTTGGGTCGCCTCCGAGTCGACAAGCCATACATCATTCGCCTGAACAGAGTCACTGCTACCGCCAATCGCGAAAAGATAGTCACCAGAATCTTCAAACTGTGCGACGTTTGCTCGCTGCAATCGATATCGCTCAGTATCATTCTGGACTCGCGAGGGGCAATCTGTGATCCAATGCCCTTGTTTCCCGCAATTATGGCACGCGCCAGTTTTCTTCGCTGGTCGTCTTTTGCGCTTCGCATCCTTCATCATAAACGCTTGCCCAGGCTCTGCTCCATCACACCCTGCTCCTTGCGTTTCATGTCTTCATGTAGAAGCCGTGATGTCACCAGCTCCCAAGTCAAAGTATCCGCACGCGATTTCAATGCTGTTATGAGGAATTGGTACGAATCACTAAGACTTCCAAGAAGCGTGATTGCCAAGTCGTCCTCGCTAACCGGAGCACCCACAGCGTCGAGCTGCTCCGCTAGCGTCTTGAGCTTGTTGAT